AGAGAGAGAGATGAGAGAGAGAGAGAGAGAAGAGAAGAGAGAGAGAGAGAGAGAAGAGAGAGAGAGAACGAGAGAGAGAGAGAGAAGAAGAGACAGAGAGAGAGAGAGAGAGAGAGAGAAGAGAGAGAGAGAGAAGAGAGAGAGAGAGAGAGGAAGGTGAAAAGGGGGAGGAGCAAAGAGAGGTAGGGAAGGGGAGTGGGGAGGGAGTAGGAGGAGGAGGAGGAGGAGGAGGAGAGAGGAGGAAAGGAGAGGGAGGGAGAGAGTAATAGGTGGAAAGGGGGGAGGAGGTAAAGGGAGGAAGAGAGAAGGAAAAGGGAAAGGAGGAGGAGGAAGGAGGAGGAGTGAGGAGGGGAGGAAAATCAGGAGGAGAGGAAAAGGAGGAAAAGAGGAGGGAGGAGGAAAGGAAGAAGAGGAGGAAAAGGAGGGAGAGGAGGAAAAGGGAGGAGAGGAGGAGGAGGGTACTTGGCTCGGCGTGCACCTCAACCCCTCGTCACTGTCCCAAGATACCCCGCCGAGTGCCCACTTGCCCTCCGCCCGCTGCCGCTCGCTCCGCCCGGGTAACTAGCAACTAGGAACTGGCCAGCGTGCGAATTCGCTATTTTGCCCCCCGTGTGTGCAAAGGAGTCGAGCCGTGGGGACGGGCTAGTTGAGTGAGGGGGAGAAAAAAAACGAGTTAATAGCTTATGGAAATTTCTGTGATTGGAGCTGTTATGGGTGGAGATTGCTGTGTGTGATTGACTAGCCAGGGGGGGGGGGGGGTTCGGTTGCGTCGCTAGCTGTGGGGAGATCTCTGTGAATGGGTTCTGGTGTGGGCATTTCTTCTGAGATCGACTCGTGAGCATTTCGGTGACTTGACTAATGAAAATTTCAGTGACGCCAATGAAATTTTTAGTGGCTTGACTAATGAAAATAGCATTGACTGACTAAGGAAAATCTCAATGACTTGGCGAATGAAAATATCTGTGCCTTGACTAACGAAAATTTCAGTGACTAGACGAATGAAAATTTCTGTGACGCTAATAAATTTTTTAGTGACTTGCCTCATGAAAATTTCAGTGACTTGCCTCATGAAAATTTCAGTGACTTGCCAAATTTCAGTGACGCTAATAAAAAATTTAATAGACTTGGACTACTGAAAATGACTAGACCGAGAAAATTTCAGTGACTTACTAAGAAATTTCAGTGACTTGACTAAGGAAACTAGTGACGCATTGACTGATAATGAAAATTAACAGTGAAGACCTAACGAAATTCCAGTGATTAACGAAAGCAAAAATTCGACTGGCTGATCTGACTAATGGCTATGAATCTCAGTGACTGACTTCGACCACTAAATATTAAAAAGTCTGTAAATAAATTCTGATTTAAAGTTAAAGAGTCTGTGGATAAATCTGATGTCTGCGAATTAAATACTGAATATGATAAAAGTATGTGAATATATACTGATATAAAAAGTATGTAAATAAACACCAATTTAAAAATTTCTACAACAGAAAAGAAAATTTCTGACTTTGTGACCAAAATGTCCATGCCTGTCCAGCTGTGAAAATTTCAATGGCTGATTAGCAAAAGAAGAAGAAGAAGAAGAAGAAGAAGAAGAAGAAGAAGAAGAAGAAGAAGAAAAAGAAGAAGAAGAAGAAGAAGAAAATCTGTAACAGACTTACAATGAAATATTCTGTGCCTCACCAACTACAATCCTCCAGTGACTTGTTCAGTTAAGAAAAGAACACGAGATGGAACGAAACACCCCAGTATAACCAGCTCATTCTCGGAACCAAAATGAAGCCCGAGAGATTCGCTACGTGACAAGACAATTAAAAAAAAAAAAAACTTCCTATCACTATGAAATCTCCGTGGCGTAAACATCTCATTCCGAAATACGAAAATCTGAAACATCACAAATAAATCCAACAACATGCATATACCCGAAAGAAAATCCAAAACTAAAAAAAAAAAAGAGTTTTTACCAAGAACTTGCACATCCCAGGAAGGATGTGTACAGAAAAGGGTCTCCTGAGAAGCTGCCTGACGTAAGCACGCGAGGAAAAGCCGAGAAAGTAAACTAAATGTAAAAAAAAAAAATGTATTTAAGACAAGATTGTCGGAAGTATGGTGCAACTATCACACACACACACACACACACACACACACACACACACACACACACACACACACACACACACACACACACACACACACACACCACGATTAAAAAAAAAGAAAAACACACTAAACACAAACCATAAATCGAGTACTAAAAAAACCGTTCCCAACACATAAAACACAAACGAACGAGATTCCTTTCCCGACACCCAAGCCAGCGGAGACAACAACCCCGATATTTTCATCAACCCAAATCAAGCCAAGCCAGCGGCAGACAACAAACCAGGCCATGATTATCAAGCGAAATCAAGCCAAGCGAGCGAGTTACAAGAAGCCATTCCATGTTTACCAAGCGAAATCAAGCCAGAGTGACACAAAAAAACCATTCCATATTTCATGCCAAGTCAAGGCCAAGGCGGAACAACACCAACCAGGCCATATTATCAAGCGAAATCAAGCCAAGTGAGTGAGATACAAGAAACCATTCCATGTTTACCAAGCCAAATCAAAGCCAGCCAGCGGAGGAGACCAGAAACCAAGCCATGTTTACCAAGCCAAATCAAGCCAAGCCAGCGAGTACAAGAAACCATTCCATGTTTCACAAGCGAAGTCAACCCAGCCGCGGAGACCAGAAACAAGCCATGTTTACCAAGCCAAATCAAGCCAAGCCAGCGAGTTACAAGAAACCATTCCATGTTTACCAAGCCAAATCAAGCCAAGCGGGGAGACCAGAAACCAAGCCATGTTTATCAAGCGAAATCAAGCCAAGTGAGCGAGTTACAAGAAACGTTTATCAAGCTTATCAAGAGACCAGAAACCAAGCCATGCTTACCAAGCGAAATCAAGCCAAGCCAAACGAGAAACAATAAACCCCGATATTCTCACCAAGCCAAATCGAGCCAAATCAAGCAAGCCAGAGCAGCGGCTGACGAGACACAAAGCAAGTGACGCAACGACGCCACTTAGCAAGGTGCAACTTATCATCTGCCAATCACCAAACTAATGGGCGATTGAGATGACTTCACCGCGACGTGGCAAGCGAGTGCTCACGCCGAGGTGTGATGTGGTGAGGGAAAATATGGGAGGTGGTGGTGGTGGTGGTGGTGTGGGGGGTGGTGGTGGTGGGGTGGTGGAGGTGGTGGTGGTGGTGGTGGAGGTGGTGTGGTGGTTGAGGGGTGGTGTGGTGGTGGAGGTGGTGGTCTGGTGGTGCGTGTGGTGGTGGTGGAGGTGGTAGTGGTGGTGGTTATATGATTGATATTATAGTGGTTGATGATATGGAAGGTGGGGGGGTTGTATGTGTGATGAGTGAAAATATGGGAGGTGGGGTGTGTGTGGGGGGGTGTATGATGTTGTGACTGAAAATATGGGAGGTGGGTGGTGGTGTGGGGGGGGTGTATTGTTGACACCTAGGCATCGACGACGGTGTGTGTGCGTAGGTGGTGTTGTATGACAACAAAGAGGTCAATGTGTATGATGTCACAGGAGTGATATAAACGACATGAGAAGATTGAAGTGACGTAAAAAAAAAGGTGAATCATAATAAATAAAGAAATCAATGTTGTGATGAAATCCCCCGAGGAGAAGGCACGGAAAGG